AAATTTTCTTCTCTGTTTAAGACCCTACAAAGTAGGAGGTTCGAGTTGGATATATCCGTTTAAAATTCCTTTTTTAATTGAAGTATACAGACTTTTAAATTCAGCAATTCTATGTTAGGAATCTATGATATATATGTACTTGGACATGTGTATTAAAAGTAAATGTGCAAGAACATTTGTTACAATGCTGCTTATAACATCCAAAGATTGGAAAAAACCTATGTGTATATTAATTAGATTAAATAAATTAAAAGTTATTCAGTGAAACACTAAAAGAATAAGGTTAGGCTGAAACCGGTTTGGCTCAGTGGATAGAGCGTCGGCCTGCAGACTGAGAGGTCGCAGGTTCGATTCCGGTCAAGGGCATGTACCTTGGTTGTGGACACATCCCCAGTAAGGGGTGTGCAAGAGGCAGCTAATCAATGATTCTCTCTCATCGATGTTTCTCTCTTTCCCTCTTTCTTCCTCTCTGTAAAAAAATCAATAAAATATATATTAATAAATACATAAAAGAATAAGGTTAGAAAAAAGACAAAACAAAAAAATTAAAAATGAAATTTAAAAAAAAGAATAAGATTAGAGATATATGTATAATTAGAGAAAAGTTGGCCTGGCTGCTGTGGCTCAATTGATTGTCTTCCCATGCACCAAAAGGTTGCAGTTTTGATTCCCCAGTAGGGGGCATGCAGGAGGTAGCAGATTAATGTTTTGCTCTCATATAAATGTCTCCTTTTTCCCCTCCTTCTCTCTCTCTTAAATTCAATAAAAATATTTTTTAGAAAACATAGAAAAGTGTCCATGTGTTTCATTAAGCACAGAAAAGCAAGTCACAGTGCAAAAGGTCCTATTAAAAAATTTAAAGATCCATATATATGCATGCATGCATTTGTGTGTGTAAATTAATACATAATAGCAACAACAACAACAAAAAAATGAGGTTACCACCAGGACATAAACATGGGAATACTTCGCATCTACTTTTTTAAATTTGTTCATCAGAATTTGTGGTTTTTCTCATATAGAACTTGTACATATGTTGTTAAATATCAAATTCTTCTTGTTCATTGTTGGTATATAAGAAAGTGGTTGGCTGTTGTGAATTAACTTTGTATCCTGCAGCTTTGTTATAGTTTGCTTACTGGTTGCAGGAGTTTTTTATTGTTTTTTTTTTTCTTGTAATGTTTTTGTCTGGTTTTAGTATTAATGTTGACCTTATAGAACCAGGTAAGAAGTATTTCTTGTTTGGATCTTCTGTAGAAGATAGTAGAAATTTGGCATAACTTATTCCTTAAATGTTTGGTAGATCTCTACAGTAAATCCTTCTGGGGCTGATGCTTTCTTCTTTTTTTCTTTCATTGAGTTGATTGGGATGACATTGGTTACATGAACATGTAAGTTTCAGGTGTGGATTTCTTTGTTACAATATATTGTACCATGTGCCTACCACCCCTAGTCAAATCTTCTCCTGTCACCTTATATTAGGACCTGCTTCTCCTCTCAAAAACCCTCCCTCCCCCTTATCTCTGGCAACCACCACACTGCTGTTTGTGTTCATGAGTTTCAGTTTTTTATTTCACTTAGCATAAGATCCATCCAACCATGTTGTTGTAAATGGCACTATTTCATCCTTTTTTAATGCTGAGTAATATTCCATTGTGTGTATGTACCACATCCTGTTTATCCAGTCCTCTATTGCAGGACATTTTGGTTGTTTCCATGTCTTGGCCACCATGAATAATGCTGCAGTGAACATAGGAGTGCATATATCTTTGTGAATACATGATTTTGAGTTTTTTGGTTATATACATAGGAGTGGGATTGCTGGGTCATATGGTAGTTCTATTCTTAATATTTTGAGGAATTGCCAGACTGCTTTCCATAGTGGTTGTACCAGTTTACTTTTCACCATCAGTGAATGAGGGTTCTTTTTTTCCACAACCTCTTCAACACTTATGGCTTGTCTTATGGATAATGGCCACCCTAACAAGTATAAGGTGGTAGATATCTCATTGTAGTTTTCATTTGTATTTCCCTAATTGCTTGTGAGGTTAAACATCTTTTCATATATCTATTGGCTGTTTGTATGTCTTGGGAGATGTGTATTTTCATTGGTGCTTTCTACTTTGAAAAATTATTGATTCAACTTCTTAACATGTTAAAGTGCCCAGTCAGTCACCGGTGACGAATACTATACTTCCCATCTGGAAGACGAAACAGGCTGGGCGCTTAACATGTTAAATAGATCTAGTCCTATTCAGATTGTCTTTTGAGTTTTGGCATATTTTGCCTTTCAAGGAATCATCCATTTCACCTTGGATAGCAATTTTGTGGGCATAGAGTTGTTCATAATGTTCTTTTATTAACCTTGTAATTTCCATGGGATCTGTACTGATATTTCCTCTTTTATTGCCGATATTAATAATTTGTGTCCTCTCTTTCTTACCTAGCCTGACTAGAGGCTTGTCAATTTTGTTCATCTTTTCAAAGAATTCGTTTTTTATTTCATTAATACTTTGATTGATTTCTATTCTAATTCTTATTCTTTTCTTGTTTTGGACTTATTTTTTTCTGCTTTGCTAAGGTTAGAACTTACATTTTTTATATAGATGTTTCCTTTTTTCTAATTACATATATTCAATGCTATCAGTTTCTCTCTAAGCACATGTTTTACTATATTCCATAAAGTTTGATCATTTGTTTTTATTTCCACTTGGTTCAAAATACCTTTTAAGTTTCCCCAGATTTCTTTTCGACCCATTATGTGTTACTTTGAAGTTTGTTATTTAAGCAACACGTATATTGGGATTTTTAAATTACCTTTCTCTTATTCATTTCCAGTTTAATTCCTTTGTGGTCTGAGAGCAGACGTTGTATAAACCCCCACCCCCACCCCCCCACCTTTTTTTTTTTTTTTTTTTTTTTTTTTTTTTTTGCTAAGATCTGTTTTGTTCTGTTTTTTACCCAGAATGTGGTCTGTCTGGGTAATGCTCCATGAGAGATTGAGAAGAATGGGTATACTGCTGCTGGATGAGCAGTCTGCAGATATCAATTATATCCACTTGGTTGACTGAGTTAATGTGTTCAATTTGTCCTTAGTGATTTTCTGCCTGTTGGGTCTGTCCCTGCGTCTTCATCTACAACAATGGGCACATCTATTTCTCTCTGTAGTTCCAACAGTTTTTGCCTTGTGTAATTTGACACACTTTTGTTAAAGACATACTTGCTAATTCTTGGAGAATTGACTCTTTTATCATTATATCATTGCTCATATGTTGTTCTTATAGACAACATATAGTTGGGTCTTATTTTTTTTTTATTCACTCTGCAGTCTCTGTCTTTTAATTAGAATATTTAGGTCATTAATGTTCAAAGTGATTACTGATGCAGTTGACTTAATCTCTATCATATTTGTTAGTTTTCTGTTTGTTACCCTTGTTCTTTATTCCTATTGTTATATTTCAATTTTTCCCAAAGTCTTTTGTGGATTTATTGAACACTAGAGGCCCGGTGCATGAAATTTGTGCATGGGTTCTGGTCCCTAGGCCTGGCCAGCTATTGAAGCTCCAGCATCTGGTGTGCAAGGGCAGGTACCAGCTGACCTCTGGGCCTTGGGCAACACTTGGGACCTCAGGCCCCCATGCAGCCCAGGCCCCGTGCACCCGCCTCCGCCTGAGTCACAGTGCCTGAGTCCCACACAGAGATGTGGTGAATGCGGCTGGATGACAAGGGCTGGGGCACAGTGTGGGTCTTTGGGCCGCCCAGCGGTGCCACACAGAAGTTGGGCAATCAGCACGCGCTCTCCTGGCCAGCCTTGCAGACCAGCTCCTGCAAAACCCAAGGGAGGCAGACCGGCCCCTGCAGTCCCCGCTCATCCTTAAGAACCCGTGCGGGTGGGGGGTGGGCTCCTCGCAGGCACCAGGCACCTGAGTGTGGGGGCTTCCCTGGCATGCCAGCCCTTGCTTCCTGGGGAAAGGTAGCAGGGGGAGTGAGAGTGAGCTTGGTGGACACCCTGCATTCTCACTGCACCTCTGTCCCTGTCACCCCTGCCCCCAGGTAGCCATCGAGAGTTCACAACACATCACAGATTCCCACCATGTTCCACACTGCCCCCTGGTGGTCAGCACACAAAGCAAGCAGTCGAACTCCCAGTCCCTCAGTCGAACTATCGCCCAAGGGGCAATTTGCATATTAGGCTTTTATTATATAGAATTTTATATTATTTCATTCTCTCCTTTTTCGCATATCAGTTATTTTTTTTTTAATGTTTTTAGTGGTTGCTTGACAGTTTACAATATACATTTACAATTAATTCATTTCTGAGTCATGCATCTGGACTGTGCACTTCACTAGTATTTCTCGGTTTTTCCTTCTCTGCTTAGGGTGGATGGGATGGTCAGATAGGTTCTGATGACACCTGGCAGGTCAGGCCCAGGTTAACTAGTTTCTTCTGGGGCAGACTCTGTTAAAAACAGAGTGCGCCCTAATTTCAAAATGGTTCTTTCCCCCCTCTTCCTGCTGAAAGCGTTTGGGACTCTTCTGATATTTACTGTGGGGACCTAGTGGATTCTTGCAGGTGAATCTTAACATTATCTACAGTGAGCTTCCAGCAATTCATCAATTATAGTTTAGCTTTTCCTACCCCAGCACTGGTTTCCATGGCATTGATCACTCATGAGTCTGCTCTGTTATTCTGTCTCTCCAGGCTTGGAAGCAGTGGTTTGCCTTGTGTCCTTCTCTGTCTTACATACTCAATAAGTGTTGATTTTTTTTTTTTTCTGTTCATATTTTCCTTCTTAGGACAGAGTGACAACTTTAAAGTGCTTACATGTAGAACCAGAAATCAGAATTCTGTATTACTTTTTAATTTAAATTTTAAATGTATAAGGAAAGACCTAATTTTATATAATAAATAGGATGACTCAACATTTTGAAAAGCTTAACTACTAATAAGTTATGAAATCCTGGAATTGTCATTTAAGTAGAAATTGTTTGTATTTTAGATAACGTTCACTCATCCAAGCCTAGACATTCAGGGCAGAAGCATAGAATATGCACAGCGACAAATATCCAAGGAATGTGGAGGCCTAAAGTCCCAAAATAAGGTAAGTTACCTCAGTTTATCTTCTGATATGGACTATAACTAATGAACAAATAAGTGAAGTTTTCTAGTCCTTCTTATTCTCTATATAGTTGAATTGTACTAGGAAAAATAATTTAGTGTATAAGTTTGCTACATAAAGGCTTGTAAACCCTAATACATAAATTCTATCCAAATTTCTAGTGTGAGTCTAGGGGATATCAACAGTGTATTTATCACCAGATAGAACCAATAAGAATTATACATAGTTGATTTAATGGACTTCACTTTAGCCCTGACCTGGAATTTTTTTAGTCCCAGTACCAAATATCTGGGGAATAGAAGTTTGTCCCAACCTGGGACAGGTGTTTACTTGTAGACTAGTCGCTGTGTCCAGGGTCTGGGGCCAGGAGATACAAATTCGACTTCCAGAAGCCCACCTGAATGGTTAAATAAAGGATCGTTTTGATTTAGACCTTGTGTGATTTATAATATCTCTAGAAGATTTACTTTGCTCCTTGGCCTCAAGGAGACAGTCTATCCAGAAGGAGGGGTGAGGGAGGTTGTGTGTATATGTATATATACATGTATGTGTATACACATGTGTGTGTATGTATATATACATGTATGCATATACACATGAGTGTGTATATGGTATGGTGCATTTTAAGTTATTTTCAGAGACCAACAGACTAGATGGTTGGAACAACAAGAATTTATTTTCTTCTAAGTCTGGAAACTGAAGTCCAAGGTCAAAGTGCTAGTAATTTGGTTTCTTCAGGGACCTCTCTCCTTGGCTTGCAGGTGACCACCTTCTTGGTGTGTCCTCCCTGGTCTTTGCTCTTTCATGCATATCCCAGTGTCTCTCTGTGTGTCCAATTTCCTCTTCAAAGTACACTAGTCAAATTGGATGGATTAAGGTTCACTCTAAGGGCCTTACTTGAACTTAATGACCTCTTTAAAGTCCCTGTGTCTAAATATAGTGACTTTTTGAGATGGTGGAAGTTGGTGCCTCAACTCGTGAATTTGGAGAGGACATGGTTCAGCCCGTAACATTTTCCCCCTCCGGCATCTGCTCCCCTAAATTCCTGCCTTTCTCAACATGCAAAAATTCACGCCATCACAGCAGACCCCAAGTCTCATCTAAATTTTATCTAAATCAAGAGTGGGCTCAGACAAAATACGATTCAATCTGGGACAAATATCTTTCTCTCTGGGACCTGAGAACTTCCCTGCTTCAAACTAGAATGGTGGGAAAGGCACAGAACCGATATTTTCATTCCAGAAGGGAGAAACTGGAAAGAAGAAAGGTGTCATGGGATTCTTAAACAAGTCCAAAACTTAGCACAGCAAATGTCATTAGATTTTTTAAGGCTCAGAAACAATCCTCTTTGGCTTGATGATTTTTTTTTTTTCCTTCATGGGGGGTGGCCCCACAACCTTGACCCTTGGGCTTTCTGGCCCCCTGAAACTGAGGAAGTGGCCCCGTCCTATTGAACTGAGGAGGCAGCCCCGACATTTCCTGTTCTTCCCTTAAGAGATAATGCATGTTCCCAGCCAGATAGCTCTGTTTGCCAGTCCTGTAAATGCTATTACTTTGACAACCTTGATTCATTTCCTCTCAACTCTGTCCCCTTAGATCCAACCTGGCAGCATTTCAGCTGAGATGGTTGATAGGATCTCTGAGTCATACCATAGCCTCTTTATCCTATGATTGCCTAGCCATATCTTTGTTATTATTTTTTCTTCGTTTTTTTTTATCCACACCCGAGGATATGTTTATTGGTTTTGAAAGAGAGAGAGACAGATCCATTGCGCCCTGAGGGAGTCAAACCCACACCTTTTGGTGTATGGGACAATGCTCCAACCAGCCCGGCCAGGGCCACACCTTTGGTGCTTTCTTCAAAGCATGCTTACTCTCCTGCCTTCTTCAAAACACTAGAATACAATTCTTCCCTTCCTCTCCCCCCCCCTTTTTTTTTTTACCACTTCCTTTCACTATCCAGTATTATATTTAAAGTTCGAGGCTATCTAGGCTTTTTATAACATGCACCTCAAAACTTTTTGAGTCTCTGTTTATTACCCAGTTTCAAAGCCATTGCCACATTTTTAAGTATTTGTTACAGCAACCCACTTGTCAGTACCAATAGATGAGTCAGGATTCTCCAGAGAAACAGAACCAACAAGACGTGTATAGAGGTTTCTTTTAAGGAACTGGCACAAGTGATAGTGGAGGTACATCTCCAAAGCCTGCTGTCGGGCTTGAGAAGGGTAAACTGTTGGACTTGAGAAGCAGGGGAGAGTTGCAATCAGTCTGTTCCATAAAGGCCTTCAGTTCATTGGATGAGGTTCACCTATATCATGGAGGCTGATCTTCACTCGTCATAGTCCACCAAGAGACATCTGTACTTCAATATTCAGAGTAATGTTTGACCAAATATCTGGGCACGAGGCTCAGCAAAGTTGACACAAAAAATTCACGTTTACAGTCCTTATTGCAGTTTTCATCTCTTCCCTTTTTTAGGTCCCTCGACATGTCAGCTTTCAAGATGAGGATGAGATTGTCAGAATAAATCCTCGAGATATATTAATCCGTCGCTATGCAGACTACAGGCATCCAGACATGTGGAAAAATGACTTGGAGAGAGATGATACTGACTCCAGTATTCAGTTCTCTAAACCAGACAGTAAAAAATCAGACTATCTGTACTCTTGTGGGGATGAGACCAAGTTAAGTTCATTCAAAGACTCCGTGGTATTTAAGACACAGCCTTCCTCGTTAAAGTTTAAGAAGTCAAAACGAAGAAAAGAAGATGGTGAGCGTTCCCGCTGCGTATACTGCCAGGAAAGGTTTAACCATGAAGAAAACGGCAGGGGGAAGTGTCAGGATGCTCCAGACCCTATCAGAAGATGCATCTATCAAGTTAGTTGCATGCTCTGTGCCGAGAGCATGCTATATCACTGTATGTCAGACTCAGAGGGAGACTTTTCTGACCCCTGTTCGTGTGACACTAGCGATGACAAGTTCTGCCTGCGATGGTTAGCCCTGGTGGCTCTTTCTTTCATTGTCCCGTGTATGTGCTGCTACGTCCCCCTGAGATCCTGCCATCGTTGTGGGGAGGCGTGCGGGTGCTGTGGTGGGAAACATAAGGCTGCTGGATGAGAGGATCTAGGGCCAACAGGAGTTTAAAACCTTTGTTTCCAGGCATTAGCTAACTTGGATTTGCGGAAGCTTTCGGCAAAGCAATATGAAACCTTGCCTGGTGTCACAGGGGCCACACGTGGAGGAAGCAGCACTCGTCAGTTCTTGGCATTTCACCGATGCCAGCCATGCCTAACTTTTTCCCTTGAGTGCATGGCATGTTTTTGTTACAGGTTGTAAAGCGTATTTGCGAAAGGAAACCATTTCTGGTTATTGGCTATAAAGAGCGATCATAAAATATGATCCGACTAAAAGGGATTAATTTTTGGCATTTTTGTATATTTATGCATTAGGTGATGGGACTTTTAAAGGTTTGAATTCATTAGGACATGAACTAAAAGTGCACTTGGGAACAGCTGATTTCAATCTAAGAAAGGTTAACACTTGGAAATTATAAGAAGTTAAACAAGTGCACCTGAATCATTTATTGTTTTTTGAAAGCAGTTTTATGTATAAATAACAAATGTTTATATTTAACTAAATATAAGGTACGAATTATGACATTAAACTTTTCTTCCCCTTCCTAGTTCTGAAGTAGATATACATATATCTACTGTCACATTCCATTATATTTTGCATACTTTACTCATCTAATTAATATAACATTTTTATTCCATGTGAATGATTTGATATTTCCATCTTTGTTTCCCTTTGGCTATGGTTTATATTGAGTTCTATCTGTACATTCTGGTAATCTAAAATTCTTTAAAATATTCTAATAGCCTTGAGTGACCAACTTTTTTTTAAAGCACAGATGTAATCGTCTAATGTTCTGATGGGAGCGTAACACTTATTTTTATATAAAAAGCGATTGTGTAAACATAGAAAAAAAAAAAGGTTTCGGGGTTGTTGTTTTGTTTTTTGTGGTATTCAACCAGCAAGTTGTTTTCTTTCAGAGTTTCCTCCTTCAAAAAATTATATTGCATTTACAAATATGTTACAAGGCCAAGAAGTGTAACTGGATTTGTTAGTGTAAAAGTTTCCTCCTGCAATCTCGTTTATCATTCTGCTAACCCAGAGTTTGTTCAGCTGTGTTACTAATTTTTTTAGCTTAATCCTCAGTGCTCATTATTCACATAATACCAATAGCTTTTTTCAGTTGCATTTTATTCTATTTAAACCAGCCAAAAGCAAAATTATTTTATGTTAAAGTATGTGCTAAACTATCCCAGGAAAGTATTTAATCCAACAGTGTGAATGAAATACCTTGTACATAAAAATTTATTTCTTTTGCAGAGCATTGTATCACTGGATGTTTTATTTACAAAGTAGTTGGATAAGTGTTCCAACAATTATTTAAAGTACTTCGGGAACAAATTATCTTTTTTTTTTTTTTTTTTAAACTGTTACATTTAAACTCTAATCAAGTAAGGGTTCTCTAAGAACATTCCCTTAGAGGGATCAAGTTGAGAAGCGTGCCTTTCCTTTTAATGGCTTGAAGTTTCAGAAGTGATAAACATTAAAGTCACACTACCATTTGAAGCTCATTTTCTATGCACGTTTTTAAATGTCATTTATGGATCATTCTTTTTACGTTCACACTTAAGCTTGTGTTAGCTGTCTTTTGCCCCAGATCAAACTGAACAATGTATATAACACTATCTGTCTGTAAAATACTTTTTTTAAGAAAGCATTTATATTTATATGACAGCTTGAACTGACAACATTGTGTATATAGATCATCTTGAAGTATTATTTCACATTGAAAAGAAGAAAAATATATTGATAACTATAGATGTTATGAAGAAGAGGTTATTTCTAGTTTTGTACTAAAAATCAATTGGATGAACTAAATCCAAACGTGACACTGTAACAGCAGTTTTAAGTCTTATTTTTACTGTTTATATACTTGGACGCTGCTGCAGCAGATGATCTTCATCCCTGAAGTTTTCAGCTAAACTCGGTTACCTAGAATAGACTGTTAACTTTCAAAATTACTTCTTATTGGTGGGATGAAAATAATTGATTTTCCTTATGAATAAATTTTCATATTTGTAAGTGTGGAGTTTATAATTCAGGTTTGAGCAAGGTGTGAATAACTGAAGAAAATAACTTGCTGGCTATATAGGAAAATCTGTGGAAATGGACTGTGTATATATTTCTGGGAAGAACAAATATAATCATTTCTTCTGTTAAGCACTAATCAATATAGTGCAACTCCTGGTTCTGTACTGTATTTTATATGCGACATATATGCTTTAATATTTTAATGTTTGTGCATTAATATTTTCAAATTGTTTTAACCACTTTGCTGCTAAGATTTTGCCGTCCCATCCCCATTTTTTTCCTTTACAATTTTAAACAAGTTTCTTCATTAAAAACGATGGTGATAAAATGGTTTTTATTTCACCTTGGATCTTTACAGTTAACACATCCAGTTTCTAAATTGGTCTAGAAAACTAGTAACAAGTTATCTGAATCCCTATGTGGAAAGTTTCTCTTGAGTAAATTAGAAGTCTTATGTGAAAAATAAAGGGTGGTTTAAATTTCTTACACTAAAATGTGTATAGGTATGTTCAGGGACATTTTCTCTCGTTCTGCATACAGATTTGGCACTGCACTGCCAGCTGGCTTTTCCTCTAAAACCTTTCTCTGTTTTTAATCTCATAGTATAAGCAAATGGCTAAACAAAACTGCTTACATAATAGTCAATATGGAAAATGAAATCATCTAGATGGCATGACAAGAAAGACTGGTCAGATGGTGTGTTGTGTTCAGACCTGATAATTCAGAAAAGATTTTTCTCCTGCATTGAAGGTGGGGGGTTAGTGAGGGAATCTCTTGGTTTCTGAAGAAATTTGAGGTGTGGAGCTTCAGCACCACCTACTGGATAATTTGTAGGCCAGAACCGTGAGGTAGCAATTGGGGTCTGACAGGTCTCATCCCTATTACCTGCACAAGCTATTTAAGTGGTGGTCACCGCCAAGCGGAGGAGGCAGGAGTAAGATATATCTCAAACTATAAAAGGAATATTTTATCTAATGTGTCTTGTTGGTTGCTGAAGGATTTTGAGCACTTTTTCCTCATATATCCTGAATTTAAATATTTACTGACATTTGGAACTGGCAATCAGTCCTAATTAATGGATGTGCCGAAGCATATATAGAACCAATTCTTTTAACTTTCTAAAGCCATTACCAAATGGTATTCTTATTTTTCCTCCCATTGCTAGTGAGGGAGAATTTTTTAAAAGAATAAACATCACCTAACTACATCAAGACAACTTCAGAGGGATTGTGTGCTTATGTCTCTGGGATGCTGGGGCAGGGGAAACCTTGAGATTACCTATTTTCATTGGTTATTCAGCAGTGCCTAATATGAGCCTTTGAAGTAATTCAAATGCACTTTTAATTCTTGTTATAGTGCCATCTGATAACATAGGTAAGTCCTGCTTTTTCTTTTATTTTTCTTCCCCAACTCCAACCCCATTTAATCCAACACCATAAAGATGTTTCGTAATGTCCATACAAGTCTCCCAAATACAGGAAAGTACTTTCCTCTGAATTTTTTTTTTTTTTTTTTTTTTTTTTTACTTTCCTCTGAATTTAAAGAATCTTAAGGATGTTTCTTATATTGAAATTTGTTTTCAGTCTTGTGATTACACTTTAGACTATGTATTTAAGAATGGGTTTTTATTTCTAGCCCAAAGATACATTAAGCAAGTGTAACATTTTTCTGAAAACTTTGAAATTGTAGTTACCTGAAAAACACAGATTATTCACTAATATTATCATTCTTAATTTGACCTCCAGAATCACATTTCTAAGTATAAGGGAAAGTACTGGAAACTTGCATTGTTGTGTATGTAAAAAATTTTTGGTCTGTAAACCACCATGAGAGATTGTGCAGGAAATAAAAAAAAATTTAAAAAATCACAACGTGGAGTGATTTATGTAAACCAAAAACAAGTGCTTTAAGGTATTAAGGTACTGTTTGCCTAGCAGCCAGGTGGTTATGAACCTTTCGTATGCTTTGATTCACTGATGTTAGCCGTTGTTTCTGGAAGCTCCTTAAATTGCATAAGTTGCTAGTTTTGAAAATTTTTCAAAAATACCTAGTTGAAAAGCTTATGTATTACAGATACACATAGATTTTTGTGAACATTACCAGTCTGTAGTGTCGTTTGCTTTCTATTCTTGACCTCAGAAGTGCCTCACTTGTATATTACTTCCATTAAAAGCTTGACTGCATTCTTTCTAATAAGCATTAAAGTATTGTTTAACTCATGTCATAATGTATCTCCTTAGATATAGTTGACTAGCTTGATAGTTTTGGGTATATAATGTAAATATGCATATATAAGTTTGTAACTGTTTTTGTTACATCATACCCATGTAATTGGACATATCAGATGATATCAAAGAATTTGTTTTCGTTACCTGATTAAACCTATCATGAAATATAAAAAGACTTTTTCTTACTCTTCTAGAGGATAACAAACTATCACGCAAGAAATAATAATTACGAGAGGAGAAAGCAATAGAAATGGAAGCTTTTGACCATAATTTTGTAAGGTAGATTTTTAACTGAGAGTTCATGTATAGTTCATCTTAATGACTTACATATTAATCCTTGATGGTATCCAGATTTTTTACAGTCTGTTACCTAATACTGTACATTATATTTATTGGTTGGGGAATACGTTGCAGCTAAGTCTAGGTTAACCACTTTAACTGGTAGGTGAGACATATTTAACCCAAAACTGCTACTAATTTTTTTGTGTGTCTCCTAGTAAGTTTCAGAATTTGTCTTAATTTGTAATACAAACAAAAATAGTCAATCTAAAAGGAAAATTATTGGGGTAGTCCTTACTAGTAAAATCATAGTGTATTTCAACCCCAAAATAATCATTGGCTACTATAATACAGTTGGATTTGTTTGAAATAAAAAATTAGCCATTTGTACCTTTAACCATGAATTACATAATGTAATCTCATGTGCTTATTTACAGGTTTTTCAGAAATTTGCTTTATAGTCTTCTCAAGTTAATACCCGCAAGTAAATAGGATGGTCTTTACATCAGAGAAATTGAAAGTAGGGTTCCTACTTGATCATCAGTTTAGTATCATGCACACAGTGGTCTTTTTTTTTTTTTAATTCAGTATTAATATGAGATTTGGAGTCAACTCATTTAAAATTAGCTGCTCTAAATTTGCAATTTCAGACCCTTGAAATGATGCTCAAAAACATAATTCATAATAAAAGTCTAACTGCAAAACATGTGAAATGGTATTTTGTCTCGCAATCTTTATTTTTGTTAATGAATTTTATTTTATTATTTTTAATATATTTTATTGATTTCTTACAGAGAGGAAGGGAGAGAGATAGAGAGCTAGAAACGTTGATGAGAGAGAAACATCGGCCAGCTGCCTCTTGCACCCCCTACCGGGGATGTGCCCACAACTGATGTACATGCCCTTGACCGGAGTCGAACCTGGGACCCTTCAGTCCACAGACCGACGCTCTACCACTGAGCCAAATCGACCTCGGCTGTTAATGAATTTTAAATGATCACTTTCAATCCTCAAATAACCCTATATTTGTATTATCTTCATTTTATTTAAGAGGAGATTTAGGCTCCAAGATGTTAATATTCCCAAAATCTCTTAGAGGCACCAGGATTTGAAATTTGCTTACTCCAAAGCTCATATTTTAGTCACAGTGCAGCTTTGCCTTTTGTTACAAAGGTTACTTTATAGAATAAGCATTGTTTTGTTCAAATGCAATTTTTTTACATGAGTAAATTTTAAGGGAACACTCTTAATTTCCACTCAAATTTGTTTAATTTCTGGGCTTGTTGTTTTTATCTCTGTTGCTGGGTTATGCACTACCCATCATATGGCAGGTGGAGGATAAAATTGGGATGATGCTTCAATATGTATCAGTTGTGTGCTGAACCAATAGAAAGCACTAAAGACATATATATAGTCGAATTTGTGGGATTGTTCATCTTGCCCAATTGGTATTTTGCTGAAGACTTTGAGTCAGAGGGATTCTTTTTCACCCAAGCAATGGTGCTTCCTCTTGAGATAGTATGGGGGAAAATGCTCTCAAATGAGTCTTCTGTCTTCTGTCTACTGTTTCTTTTCAAAGGGCCAGCCACCCATATGTCAGTTATCCCCCAAAGCCTGCCTTTGAGCCAAAGTTACATTTGGTATTGGCTCCTTGCACATGTGTCACAACGATTAGGTTAGTGTCCCCTCCTCCCTCAATCTTAATTTTAACATGGAAATAATTTGTAATAACCTACAGGCTGTGTGCAATTAGGAAAGAGGTTGGACAGAAAGTATTTCAGAATTTCTATTATTGAAATAATTATTTCTGGACAGTGAAACTTAAGGAGACCTGTGTAGCTTTTGTCCCCATTGCTTCTTAATTTTGCATTTCAGAATTGCAACCTATTTATATTGTTTTATTTACTTTTGAAATGGGATACAGAAGATCTTAAAAATATTACTTTGTCTAACATAAAACTCCTTTTTGTGCCCTCTATATTTTCTTCCCTCCTTTCCCCAGTTATAGGAATATTAGAGCCCCTTTGCACGGATTCCTGCACGGGGGAGGTGGTGGGGGTGGGTTCCCTCAGCCGGGCCGCGCACTCTTGCAATCCGGGAGCCCTCAGGGAATGTCCCACTGCTGATTTAGGCCCCCTGCAGGCCAGCCTGGCAGGCAGTCAGGGAGGAGCCTGAGCTGGGCCTGGCACCGCTTGCGCTCATTCGAACCCACTGTGCCTGCAGCCACCACCTCTTGGTAGCACTGCCACAGCTCAGGAGAGGCTCAGGACGCCACGGACAGCTGTACTCGCCAGATGTGAGCCCACTTCTGGCTGAGCAGTGCTCCCCTTGTGGGAGGGCACTGACCACCAGGGGGCAGCTCCTGCACTGAGCGCATCATAGTGACTGGTCAGCTGGTTGCTTAGGCTTTTAATATATACAGACATTTCTCCAAAACTACTATTAATAGTATAAGGAGAAGAATTCATAGAGAAGAAATTTCAGCAGTTTATTATAATTATTTATTTTAATTATTGTATTCTCAAGAAAGGCCAGAAAGCCTGATTTGTGTATCATCGATAAGGGAAGCCAGTGTGTCACCATCTTAAAATTTAAGAAAAAACGAAGTTTTACAAATGCCTTAGCTTCAAGGTACTTTAATAGTTCTTGTTAAATTGCCAAAGTAAAATGCACATGGCATATACTCCTTAATTTTAAGGAAGTAGGAATTCAATACAAATGACTTAAGATGACTGATGAAGTTGATTTCATTGATGTTTTAGGACTAGGAGACATCTTTGAGATTATAAGTACAGCATCCTTGTTTTGCAAATGTGGAAACGGGCCCAAAGAGGCTACGATATTAGTGCCACGTCATAGTAACAACCTGCACGTGTAACCCAGACATCCAGCTACCTGAAGCGCATCTCTTGCAGGCCCCCCAAATTCAGTATGTCCCAAACTGATCTTCTCTATTCTTTAAACTTTTTCCCTCTTCTCTGTCTTTATATATATATATATATATGTGTGTGTATATATATATATATATATATATATATATATATATATATAATCTTTTATAGATTTTTTACAGGGAGGAAGGGAGAGTGATAGAGAGCGAGAAACATCAATGAGAGAGAAACATTGACCAGCCGCCTCCTGCACACCCCCCACTGGGGATGTGCCCGCAACCAATGTACATGCCCTTGACCAGAATCGAACTCGGGACCTTTCAGTCCTCAGACCAACGCTCTACCACTGAGCCAAACCGGTTTTGGCTCTTCTCTGTCTTGATAGATGGTGGCACCGTTGCCCTTTCAGCAGTCTAAATCAGAAGCCTGATCATCATCCTTAATTTCTCATTTTCCCTCACTTTTCACCATCGATTCTCCATTTTCTACAGTTCCATTTCCTAAGCCAGGGTCCCTCACATCTGTCCATGTTCTCCAGTCTGTCCTCACTGCCACTGTCCTGGGAGAAGTCATCTCACACTACTGATGCTGGGGATTTGGCATTGAGTCACTTGGGTGTCGGTTTTTAAAGAGATGGTCTATATTTTAAAGGATTGGAGGGTGGAAATAACTTAAGACTGCAACAAAATGGTAATAAAAAGTTTAGATCTTCAGAGTCCAATATCCCGAGATTCAGACAAAAAAATGACTTGTGGTAGGACCAAGGAGTCAAGGGATGGTGACTTTAACTAATTCAGCACTTAGAACCACCTAGAGAATTAGGAGTAACTTGAACTGCAAAGTGCAAGCTTATAGAAAGTTCAACTTCAGGCTATTTATATGTTCACCTTTTCTCAAACCCATTTCCCCCCCCCCCTTTTTTTTAATCACATGATGTAAGCTTGTCTGTTGTGGTGGTGGTGGTTTTCCGAGAGCTTGGGTAAAGAAAAGAGTCCATTACTGGAAACCTTTGAAATCTTACTGCTAATAGTATTTTTAAGGAAATCAATAACTCCATCAGCAAGTGAGCCCACATTTAAAAGATTTTCTTTGCTTTTTACAA